TCGAGTTTGTTTCCGATAATCGATAACTTACTCCGTTTCTAAGCAATCGATAAAAATCGATATCGATATCCTGTTTTTTGGGTAATTTTAGTAAATAATAAGAGCTAGAGTCACCAAACTTGACATATAGCTTCTAAAATAGAATATATATATATGCATTTGATGTTGGAAGAGGGATCAGGGTAACCCCTAGTCGGGAGCTCCCGACTAGAACCTCTTACTTGTTTAGGTTTCAGTTATTTGGAAAAGTTGCTAGATATAAGCATTTGTGCAATAGGGTCTTAAAATACTTTCTTCTGCTCTTCATTACCAAGGTAAATTTCTAAGATAAGGCAAAATTCGTGAAACAGTGTTGCATAATGCTTGTATGTTATGTTACGCAGAATTCCAACAGCTCGATTGGAAAATTCGTAGAAAAGGGTTGTGTAAAAGTTTTTCCCATTTCCATTTATCTCAAATTATATTTTAATGATGGTTGTGAAAGTTTCTTGGCGTTCTATTCATATATCAAGCTGGGAAAAGTTGTGTAGGCGAAAGAAAAATTTGCATACAACGAATTTCATGCTGAAATTCAAAGTGCTAGCGAAATGTACATGTAGGACTTATGTCAGATTAAGATATTGATAAGATATAGTTGTCATGCTTCGATCAAATTTAAATAAACAAAATTATGGATCTATCCAAAGCTTTAGTAAGGTACCTTCAAAAGTGGGTTTGGATAGAACTGCCAGACGGACATTGACTCAATATTGTTGATACTGACGCGAATAAATATGGATTGAGGTCTGAGTTACGCATTCTCTAACAAAATCATGACACATTTTGTGTAGGGTAGCTGAAAACGATGGCGATGACATCGCAACTACGCCAACTATTCATGGGTCGTATACTTAATGTGTCTGCTTGATATGTGCTCGCGACAGGGCTAAAGTGAATGAGAGGGGGTGGTGGGGCGTATGGATACGAATGTAGTTTGGCTTGTTTATTTCGGAGACTGAGCATCAGCAACTCGGTTAGCAAAGTGTTTGTTTAATATTGTGCAGCACACTTTTACTCAGATTCAAAAAAACTTTGCCATACAATTGATTTTAATTAAAATACAATAAATACAATTAAAATTCATTTTATTTATTTATGTGAAATTAAAATAGTTTTGTAATGTTGCATAGCAAATTAGGGCGTTTGTTTGTGTTGTGTTCTTGATACTTGTTATTATTTTATGCATTGCTTATGTGTGGCATGCAACAATTGAATACACTGGAGCTCATTACGTATACGCAGCGTGTATTCTTTTGATTGTGTTTGACCCAATTATGTATGTATGCATATGCATGCATATAATAATGAAATTCATCAAAAATGCCTTTTGACATTGACGAGAGCGCATTTACATACTTAATATATATACATTAATAATATACATAAGCGATTTCGCTTCGCTCTATCCCTAGGGAAATGGGCGTCTCTTATGTCCTTGTGCGTGTCCCACATGTCGCTTAAGCAAGACGCGCACATAAATTTATGTATGTGTGCATAATGTGTTGGGGTGGCATGCATGTACCCCCCGCCACCTATTTACTGAGCATATTTAGTTAACGTTGGGCCAAAGCAACAAAGACAAAGATACAAGATACAAGATAAAGATATAGATACAGGCGAAGCGCTTCCTGCACCCCTCCCAACTTCCAACTCACAGCTCGCTATTCTCTTATCGATATTTGCAAAATAATAAAAACGCAAAAGACAACGGCAAAAAAAGAAGTATTTATGTGTTTATAGGAAAAACCAGAAACAACAGCTAGCTGCGGGCTGTCGAGAATTAAATACGCTCACTTAGAAGCTGAAACAACAGTCAAATCAAGCCTGAAAAGCTCTGTTTTTTTTCCTGTAGGAACCGAACCCTGAACCTACAAACCTACAAAATATATAAACTTCGACTTTTGGCAAGTACACAGAAATGTTTGCTGAATAATTCAATTTGTTATTGTTTTGCTATTAAGATTTTTCGATTTTTCCGATAGACCTGATAGATTCTTAAAACACAATATACCCCTTTTATTCTGTAAACGTGTATACAAATTATTCGATTACGATAAATCAAAATTATTCATATCATTTTTAATTAAAAGAAAATTAGATGAGCCAAGGTTTGAACTTTATGGAACGAGCCTTAGGGCAAGGTTTGAACCGTCAACGGATCAATTTTCTTTTATTTCCGTATTCATAATTAATTTATACTCTTAGTTTTCATAAAACAACTTAACTTTACTCCGATTGTGTCTTTATAATAATAAATTGAGTCTCTATAATAAATCATAATAATGTTTATGATATCGATCTTGCTTAAAGAATGAGGCTGTGCTCAAAATAAAATGTGCTCTTAGAAATTTCTATATGATTCAACGAAAAAAAAAAGACAACGCTTCTGGGAAGAGTATATGCCTTATGCGTTGACAGATCTCAGCCTCTATACGTTGCATATATCATGACTAATGCGTAGTACCCTCAGTTAGTGTATAACAGCACAAACACAACTGATACGGCAGACTTTGAGCCCATCTACATGACATATCCACTTGCTGCTGGCGCATCTCAACAGCGCCCATCTGTTTCGATTGTGATTTGCGCATAAGGAGCAGGCGGCTGCTGTAGCTGCGTCGGGCTTGGTCCTGGCCTGGCCTGGTCTGGTCTCAGCTGGGCCAAAAACACTTTTGATAACGTTTTTGCTCGTCTGTGAGAAATTGCCTGTCGCCAATGCGCCTCAGATATGCCGTATACGAATTTTTAAAGTGTCAAAAATATCCGCTTAAGTATGTAAACAAGTATATGCATACATAATATACATACTATAGATATATAAAAGATATATAAGTGTATTTTGGGCCGCATGAATATGTAAACAGATAATGACCGTCTTTTAGTTTCCTTTCCCGCGCCCTTCTACAACTTATTTGCCCGATTTTGTTGGCACAAAAAACAAGCAAAATTTTATGTTTTTGTTGCCTTCCTTTTTTTTTTGTTTGATTTTTCCTTTTTGTTTTTCTTTTTTTTTTTTTTTGGTACACAAAAAGTTGAAATCAACATATTGATTTTTGTTCTTTTGCGGGTCGCTCAAAGAGAAGTGCCTGCAGCATGGACCACAGCGTACGGATACACACGCACACACACAGGCGCACAGGCACACCGCGTGATGTGTGTATCTTGTATCTTTTGTGTGCCTCAAATGTTTGCACACATATTCGCATTTTGCCAATTGTACAGAAAGTTCGTTGCTTGTATGCTACAATTATTTATTAAATATTCAATTTTATGTTAGCTGCAAAAAATTGGAATTTCTGATGGTGCTCGTGCACGGAATTTGGTTGGAATCTATGCTCGTCAAATTTCTAATCAAAAAATTTAGTTTATTAATAAATCCATAATACTCAACCTTTTAAATAGTTTACCGAATACAAAAAAAATGATTACTAATATTTTCCTATATAGAAAATTCTCTGCAATTATGAAAGCTATTCATTTTATTTATTCATTATTTATTTATTATTCATTTAATTATCCAAACAAAAGTGTTGAAATAATAAAAAACATATTTATTCTAAACATGCTTTGGTTGAGTTTTTAGCAATTGATTTGAAGCGAGTTTTGTGCTAGGCAACATTTTTTTACTGGTCTTAAAATCAGATATCAGCCTGCTTAATGTTACATTTCCTGCTCATTCCGCATGCTCGTTTACATATCCATTCCCCATCCGAACAGCTATACAGCAAAAAACAATTGATTCCTGAATGATTAAGCCAAGTTTATGTAAGTAGACCAGCCAGCTGTAAATTAGAATAAAACTCCATGCCTCATTTTATGTGAGGTTAGGTTAGGTTAGGCTAAGTTAGATTATGTTTTTAGGTTATGATCCTAAAGATCGATATAAAATGGGACTATCGCTTCGACGAGAACCCGTTAGCTTCTTCATATCCTTCAATTTATAATTATATAGTGATGCATGGAAAAACGAAAACTACTCGCGGTTGCATACAGGGTATATAGAATTCGTATGCTTGCAGCTGCAAAGTTCTTGTACTTGTTGTGTGCTTTGCTTTTGATTCATTCATTGGGTCAAAGCGAAAAGTTTTTCAAAAAAATGTATTTGCTAATGGTTATTTTTGTTATGCCGGCATATATCTGTGTGCATCTGCATCTGTGTCCGTGTATCTCTCTGTACGGCCATAATATCTGGTACTAGCTCCGAATTCTGTCTGTGCGGCAATATCAGTTTTTCTATACAATTTCATTAGCCATTGAAAGGCTTTTCCAAAGGCAACCTTTTTTTATTTTTGTTCTTTGTTTTTACTGTACTTGACGCTGTGGTGCAGTGTGGTGCGGTATTTTACTTTATCCTTTAGCTCTCCGTTCTGTCGCGCGTCCTACACACACACACAGACACACACACACACTCTTAGCCATATATAGGCAAATACCAGATAAACGGCAATTTAACAATGAAAAATTAAAAGGAAATACAAAGTATTTTTTTGTGCCCTTTGCCCGAAAAGCAGCTTATTTTTCATAGCTTTAACTGAGCGGGTGGGTAATGGACATGCCGAGTAATTACATTTGAATTGTGACTAAAAACAAAAGTTGTTTAAGCAGCAGAGCGAGCGAGAGGGATAGAGACTGAACGAAAGAGATAGCCAGAGATTCTGGCCAAATATTTTTTCGATTTTTCTTTCTTGTTTTCTTTTTTTATTTTATTTTTTTGCTTTGTCGCAGTTTGCGCATATTTGTGCCCTGCCCAAAAGCTCTATAACAAATATTCCACGTGGACCATTTGTCATTGGGTGCTGAATATTGTTTCTGTATTTTATTTTTAAAGTACATTTTCGACTTTTTCCTTAAGCTCGACTACATAATGTTTAATTAATGAGTGAGCCATTAAATATTGCAATTGCAGGGCATTAAATATGTATAAATGAATAAAGCGCAGGCGGAAGACCAATCGCGAAGCAAATCGGACTGCTCGACCCGACGCTGATTAACTAGAAGATACACTGAGGTTAGTTATAAATATGCATACATATATATACGTCAAATATTATCGATTCGATTAGTATTATATATTTTTCCTGCCACCAAGAAATGGGTTATTTACATAGATTTCAATCAATATCTATCTTGGTTTTAATTGAGTATACGCAACGAAAAATAAGTTTTATTTAATAAGATCGATTTTTATCGTTTTTAAAGATTATTAATATTGAGAATCTGCTTTTAAAAAAATACATCGATTTTTATCAATTATTAGCATCGATTTGTATTGCTTAGTAGTACCCATAAATGGGTTATACTTTATATCAATTGATTTCTATCGCTTATTATCTAGATTTGAATTGAGTCGGAGTATACTAACATCGATTTTTATCGATTACCCAAGAAATAGGTACAATTTATTTACATCGATGATTATCCTGATTTTAATTGCCTAGCAGCAACGAGAATAAAGTTATATATATGTTCATTGATTTTTATCGATTATACCTAGCGACTTTATAGATTCATAACTCTGCAAAACGGCTTTCAAATATATACATATATTTTTATCGATAATCATCGAAATTTATTGATGATCAGCATCGAATATAATATCGTATAATCGTTTCTTATTAAAAGATTATTGATTTTTTTTTATCAATTTAATCTACTATTCTATTAGATGATCGATTTTAATCGATAGTTAAAGTAAAGTATCGAGTATCGTTCTGAGGATTGTAAGCCTAGCGAGATTTGTGAATCTAACCTCCCTTATAATTAGACTAGAATATAGAATGCTGGAGAAAGACAACTTAAATTTAATTTAAATTTTTGAGATAGATAATGTGATATACCCATTTCTCAACTAGCCATACAGGGTATTCAAATGTTATACATATTTAAACCTTAAAAATACACCCAAAACCTAACATTAATGCAAAGCACAAATGTTGCATCAAAAAGTATGCTAAATGCAAAGCGAATCATATTACAAAGCGGTGTCTATTGTAGGGTGGGCGAGCGGAAGTCCAATGCGAAGCCCCACATGACCACATAATATGGCAAAAAAAAAGAATAAATAAATGAAAACCCCGTAGGAGACACTTTTAAAATGTCATTAACATGCACGTGCCCCACAACTGAGACTCTACTCTTGACTTCTTACCATAAATCATTGCATATTTCACGGCTTAAAAGCGGCTGTTGTTGTTGTTGTTGTTGTTGTTGCTCCAATGCCATTTGCCTGGTTGTGTCAACTGGGTTTAGCTTATATATATGTATATATATATATATATATATATATATATATATATATATATATATATATATATATGTGCATATATACCTATATACAAATAGGTTCAACTCCAAATTTTGCTCATTCGCTGTGTTTGCTGTGCGTGCGTTTATTTTCTGCCTTTACAATTTACAACGGAACCAAAAAGTTATGAAACTCATTAAAACACGAAACTAATTCAAACGCCCCGGGCCTAATTGCCGCCACATAGCCACCGCGCCCCAACCCCTCTCCCTCTACCTACCGTCTGGCACACTCCTTGGGGCAACAACAGAAATGATTCCCCAAAAATTATTTAGCGTTAATATCCATAGAAAAATGTGCGCGTCAACAGAAATTAAGTGTCCCAGCTAATTTAGCAATGCCGTCCAGAGAGCTCACGGGCTCCAGCTGCGTGGCTCAGCTCCCAGCTGCCCGAGTTGCCCCAGCTGCCACAAGCTGCTACAACTGCTGACGCAGTCCAACGCATTGGAATACTTACAATTTTAATTTGAATAATTTTGCAGGCTTTAAACGTAAATTACCCTCACATTTCGCTGTAGTATTATATGCATATATATATATATATATATATATATATATATATATATATATACTCTGTTAACAAGGTGAAAGCCAGTCTGTTGGTTGTGTACAAAGACTTGAAACTTAAAAAACCATGCTGCTGTTTTTTTTGCCTCGAAGAGTTAACATTACTTGGCTCACTATGGTGCCAACAAAGCGCATAAATCGATAGCTCCCACAGACCTAGAGCTAGAATTGATAACTTTGAGCTTCTCTAAATATCGCTGTTAAAATACGTTTAAATTTTAGATAACAATGGGGGCAAGTGTGCAAGAAATGCTGTATAACTGTAAGCTACACAAGAACTTACTTTGGGCTCTCGAACTCTAAAGAACTTGTTTGAAAAATCGATACTTATCGATATTATTAATTTTAAGGAATCATATCGTTAAAAGAGGATATACTCATTCTATAAAGCTCGAACTATTGTGGTCAGCGCCGTCCAAACAAAGAGCTTACATCAATATTTCCTAAAGACAAAGTTTGACAGTCACTGCCTTGGGCTTAAGGTCTTAGAGTCACCGACTGCGTGCGGCTGTTTAGAGCTTTTGCTCAGCTGTAAATAGAGTATTGCGCAGTCGCGTTCACCCGACTAAAATGTTCTTGCTTGATTTTTTCTTGCTGTGCCCTTTTTTATTTCTCTTTTTTACTCGTTTTTTTTTTGCATAAGCATTTTGAGAGATTAAACTTGGCGTACTTGAATGTTATTATACGTGGCAGCAGCAGCAGCTTCGGTGGCGGCGGAGGGGGGACGGAGGCGGGGTCGGCGACAACGTTGCGCCCAGCGCCAACACTTTCATTTATTATTATTTTTTTATGCCCGGGTTCGCGACACCCAAACCCTAACATCCCGCCCTAGGCAGCAGCGCCCAATTGTTGCCCCAAAACCAAACCATACAGAAAAAAAAATCACACATCGTTAGCTCAGCATTTTTTTTGTATGTGTGTGTGTGTGTGTGTGTGTGTGTGTGTGTGTGCCCTTGTGCCCAGCTCACAGCTCAGAGTCTCATAATGTGGAATTTTCGTAGCATTTTCCATAAAAATTGCTTTGCTTGGCAGTTACCAGGGTCGACTGCGGGAGGGGAAGAGCGCGAGGGTTTTAGGGGCAAAGACGCAGTTGAAGGCACAACCGAAGCTCGGGCCCAGGCTTGTCTTCTGTTAACTGTCCCGTTTGAGTTTGTGGATACATTTGAGAGAACTTGTTCTCACACACACACATGCACACTCATAATGTGTGTGTGTATGTGTGTGTGCTCAAAGTTTCTTTATTTAATTCAGTGAACTGTAAAATGTGCTGAAATGTTAGATTATTGCTTTCCAGCAACAGCCCAGCTCTAGTATAGAACGCACCCAACTAGCGGCCAGAGATACTTTTGCGCATTCTTGCCACACACTTTACTTGCTTCCCCACCCCCCTAGCAACGCGTCCAACCCACCTTCCACCCACCACCAACACCCCATAGACCCCCATAGACAGGCAACTTTTGTTGTTGCCGCGGCTGTTTCTCTTACTGCCATAACAATTTCGAACTGCACTCCTTTGACAAGATAATACGTTGATAGCCCCAGTCCCACAGCCAGCACCCTCTACCTCCCATCGACCAGCATCTTGTTGGGGCTCCACAGTACAACGAAAAATTGGGCAATTTGCTTACACAACCAACAACAAGCACGGCAACAGGAATAAGCATACAAGCAAAATGTTCAAGAAAAACCAGAAAGAGAAAACCAAACAAATATGTGTGTTCTAGTCAAGAGTGCCCAACGGGCAGTTACTCTGTACCGAACTTAAAATTTAAAAACTATTCCCCAAAAAATATAAGGCTCTGCAATATTTTATGTCCTTCGACATTTGAAAAATTCATCAGTTCGGTGTTTCCAAATTTTCCCTATACTAAGTTTATTCTTTAAAGTAAGGGACGATTTGAGGTATCGAAAAAAAACAAGTATTTTGGATAATAGTAAGCTATAGATGGATCTGCATACAAGGATTGGTGAATCGAAGTCTTATAATCTTCCAGTTATGCTTAGAAACCATGTCTAAAAATCGATATTAATCGAAACTTGAAAATTTTGAGCAAATATTGAAAAAAACGATAAACTTGTCTTACGAAAATATATATTTCCACACCAAGTAGTTGCCATAACCATAGTCGAACAGACAGATGGGGGCAGACATGACTAGATACAAGCAGCTCATCTTGATCGCGAACTCCTTAAAAAAAATATACCATATTTTCACAAATACTCAATATATACAGGGTATGAAAAGAAAACCAGACGAAAAAAAAAGAAGAAAAAAAAAACGCAAAAGAAACAGAAAGTAGCAACAGCATCGCTCGCTCAAGTTGAGTTGGGTGTGGATTCTCATTTTCGGTTTGGTAAAAGGTTTGCGGCACGTGTTGACGTCGCTTGCTCGCTCGCTCGAACACTGCCTGCACAATACTCTAGCGAGGGGGGGTAGAAGAAAAATCCAAAGAAAATTCGTAGCTTTTCAATTCAGCCCCTAAGTGGCATGGACGTGCGTCTCTCAAGGGAAGGGAAATAGGCGAGAACGAGAGAGTGAATGGTGTTTGCCTTCATCAATAAAGTTAATTTAAAATTTATTTATTAACATTTCCTAAAAGTATAAGAATACCCTTAGTGCAACTTTCGATTGTCTCGATAACTGAAACTTTTTTAAGCCAGCAAGAATGCGCCAGAAAGCAATTTATGCAGTAACGAAACAAACTTCGATAGGTTCGACCATATAAGTTAAACAATAGTTACATCAAACAATTTCTATGCTAATAGGGAAAAATGTATGGGAATATGCTTAATGCAACACTCGATAGTCTCGATAAATAATACTCAGCAGTAGACATAGCTGGGTGCCAGAATATATTTATATATAGCTTTCGTTCTTCTCTTGTGAGTTACTCAACGGATATTTTAAAACTTGCGATTATTATAGTAGCTTTAAAGGTATTCGATTATTCTACATACAACTTTTGATAGCCTCGACAAAAAACTAATTAGAGTACTCAAAAATTAGGTATCTTATTAATAGACAAAAGCTTATTAGAGTACGAGTTCGACTGGCTCGTCAATTTAAGCGGGAGATAAAAAAGCTTAAGAGTATCCCTAATGCAATTGTCGACAGTGTTGATTATTCAAATTTCGTG